GCCGTTTGTTTTACTACCCGATATTGTGCGAAACAAGAAGAAAGTCGTCCGTTTTCATATTATTTTCAGTTATACGTTAAACCCGTGTGTACAATGTACCTATATTATATTGTACTTAATTTTTTTTTTTTTTAAATTGTTCACGAGCATCCTAGTTTTTTTTATGACCCTAAATCTGTTGGATTTTAACCTTAGAAAAAACAACCACCACAACGAATATGCAGTGTATTGTAATATTATTCGCGCATAAAAATGGTAAAATAATAGAAGCAAATCGTATTACGTGCGAGGTCGATACGCACATCAATCAATATCGGCGTTACCTCTATCGGATGTGTCCAGAACGGGTTGCAAGACGTAAATTGAACTGCCCGAGGGAAGGAGGGGTGGAGAAGAGGGGCTCTATAGGAAATTTCACACGTGGGGACCGTGTATAAAGACGAAGAGAATGTCGGACAAAACGGATTCCGCCGGTCGTTTGATATATACAATAATATTATTATCTAGGTTATCGTTATGTTCAGTTCCGTCGTCGCGTCTGCACAATCCGGAACTGTTCAAATGACCGGCAACACCTGATCGGTATTCCGTTTCCACAATATCGCATATAACGGCTGTTATCGTCGGCTATATACCACCTACTTATGCATATGATTATTATACCGGATTCATACTTGTATTATGATGTGAGGAACGAGCGAGGTATATTTGGGTTTAGAAATATACCTACTCAGTACTCTAATATCAGTCCAGAGTGTATATGGATATATTTTTAATTGTATAAATGCTCTATAAAAGTGTAAATACAGAATTGTAATAAACAAGGGATCAGCTATTCGTTACCTTGTTTCAACACAAATGTCGTGCACAATCAAGTTGGACCAGCAGAACGATAAGTGTTTAAATAACCTGAATAGGTAGTGAACATTTAAAATGTCGCATCATTGGTGCCATGAGCCGAAAACATCTTCAGCTAGCAATTTTTTGCTAACGCACAACTTTCCAATTTGATGTTTGATGCATGCGTTTTGTATTCGAATTATAACTGTAGATATCATCAAAGCAACAATCAAATGTCCACGATAAAAATGATTGGTAATACCGCATTGACAAAGTATGGTTATCACTTATCACTAATTATTATTATAAAAAATACAACTACTAGTTATATAAATAGAAAATATGGCACCACCAAGTACTTGTACATTTAGAACAAAACTATAATGTTAAAAAAAACCTTAAACTTGAACTTTATAAAAATATATTATGAAACGTACTCATCATTGACGATGGGCACAAATAACTTCACAAGGTCAGAAGGACACCACCCGTCGGACGTCATCGACCACATACGAATAGGAATAACGTTCTCCGTGAGGTTTTCTGTGTGGAGATACCATAACTGTAGACAGTACTGTAGTATAGTAGATGATGTTATTATGATTTAAAGGTGTTCTATAATTTACCGCAACACGATTTAATTCTTCGTGATTATGTTTTAATAATTAAGTAGTTGAAACAATAATAATTATCATGTATACGATTTAAAGGTAGGTAAATAGTAGACCGGATTTTCCTGAGCCCTGTTCTAATTATAACGGAAGTTTCCTTCATAATTATACCATTACAATTCGCTGTGGGATTATAGAGACAAAATCCAGATCAACGTTGGATTTGCATACGCATTTGTATAGCAGACGGCAGTTAAACTGAACACTTTTTTATTTATATTTACATACAAAATAATTATTGTACGCGTGTAGAACGACTCACCGCAGCATTGAGTTAGTTTATATGCTGTTTGAACGTAAGCCGATTTATTTAGTCTGTAAATCGGTTCTTATAAACTGAAGTTTATTCTATTTTAAACCGTGTATCATTTACATAATATGTCTAACCTCCCGGCAGCACGGTAGTCAGTAATAGTTTGCTGTGAATTGTAATCTGTTTTAAATATTGGAGTCTGGGTCGGACGGGGATCGAATAAAGGCTCGGGCGATTATACAATTCGACCTACCAATCACAAGAACTCGGTCCTACCCGATTTAAATACCTAGAAATAATCAATTACATAAGCTCAAGTGGCCCAAAATCTTGGCAGTCCAACGGGTGATTGCCTTTCCGCCTTCCGGCCCAATCCGCCACCGATGGACCGTACATGGGTTCCAATCGGCCAAAGAAATAATTATAGTACCTATTACTTGTATTCGTAAATGATCTCAAATAGCCGGTCTGATTTTGAAATTAATCGAGTAGCAACTATTCGTTCGTTTAACTTCTCTGTTTATCGGCGGGATCTTCGTGTTGCCGTTTTAAAAACGCCACAGTTACCTTCGGGCCATGATGGCAAACGCTGGAATGTGAACGTGGCACACCTTTAATTATTTGAGTAGGTATACGTAGGCACTGTTGCACATACGGTTAGGTTACCACGAAAAAATTACATAGGTTTGATCAAGGAACGCATAAATCACTCGTGTATAATTGGTACAGCGGCGACGACTTTACACACATACGCCCGTCACTTGTACCGACAATGTTTACATTCCACGTCAGTCTTGAGTGTATTATGTAAATGTACCGGGTTTGCAACTTTCCCACGTTCTGGGTTGCATATGGGCCCGGTAAATCTCTGAAGGGCTGTCGTGGCGTGCCGAAAACGATACTGCTCTTTACCAAACACCGTATCGGATACAATATAGGTCAAGTAGGCAAGTACGTTTAAAGCCTAAACGTGCGCTTGTCGAGAAGAAACCGCCACGTCACTAAACAATTTTTTTCTGAAAGATCCTAACACTGTTTTTTATTATTATTGTTATTTACCAATGTGCAGTTGTACTTGGTCGCATGGTTAAATTTCGATTTAATAAAAAAAAGTCATACGACATGATTTGATCAATTGCATAGCCAAAGGTGTAATGCACAAACCGCACACGGCACCATGTACCAGACGCGTACACAGTAATAATTTGCCAACAGAGAGTTCAAAGTTATGTACAACTTACAAGTGTACTATGTAGTATGCACAGTAAGACCTTATAGTTTGATGATAGCCCGATGAATGCCGATAATTAGCCGTGAAGTTACTGTACGCCATTGAAATTAAAACAACCAAACATCATCACTTCGTATACTATTTTTTATTGTATTATTATCATACAGGTACCTATCTCTAAAGTCTAATCCGTTTTCGCAGTACTAAAATACGTAATACATAATGGCTTAATGGTGTGGTGTGTGTCCATAGGCTCGACATACAATTACTAGCGCGTGCCGTTGGCTAAACATATGTTTTTGAAAATAAGTTTTCAGTTTTACCTAGCCAACGTTTGTTGAACCCTGTATGTATTCTAACGTTCCTTGTGTGAACATTAAAAAGGGACAAAAATACTGTAAATGACGATTGATGACGAGATAACAAAAAAATTCAATGAAAAAAAAGGAAGTATTACACCAACAGAAATATTAACTCTCGGTCGAACGCGGTTGCACTAAAATGTAATGTTTTGATTGTATTTTGCCAATTACCATTACACGGAATAGGTGTATAGAATAATAACTGTTTGCGAAATTCAGATAATTATTTTAAAAAAAAAAACGTGTGGTTAATAGTTTGTATAGTACCTATGTCCAACCGTCGTCAATACCGTGTTATTATTTTAGATAGTTGGCGCGGAAACTTTTCTCTGTATGTAAATGATGCGTCCAATGTGGGTTTCCTTTTAGTATTTCGACACGTATCCACACGCATATAGATAAATATATGTAATAATACGTACCTATGACTCCAGTAAAAGTATATTATTTTTACACATAACACACAAACACAATAAAGCACAATGCATAATGCACGTATTGTGTTTGTGTAGACGATAGTGAATTATTATAAACCGACTTTCTTCATCCTTCACCCTGGATGCCGACATCATAATCTCGTTGCGCAACCGCACGGGTCATATATATTATCATCATATTTTTAATAACACAAATGATAATTTATCATAGCATTTTTTACGTCCTCCATTAAAAAAAAAATGAATAGAAAATTATATAATCAAGTGGGATACGTCTGTTGGTTTCCATGTCAAAAAAAGTTTATTCACTCATACGATAAAACCTCTTTCGATTAAATGGGACATTAATTATTATTTTTAATACAAATATGAAATAAATGTATGTGATTACGTTACATGATGTACGGTATAATATTATACTTATGACTTTTGTATATCTTACAATATACTTTCATCCATTATTCGATACTACTCCATTACTATAAGGTCGTTATTTATGCTGATGGTTGTTGTATCTAATCGTGTGCTAGCGGAAAACGGACAATCAATTGCGGTATATTGAAAAACATTTAATACACATCTACGCTATAATATTATACTCCATAGTCATTCATAATATGGATTATTATTTATTGAAAACTGCCACACACAACGACCTCCCAAAAATATGTTTTCATTAAATCGACTGTTCAAATGTGGCTTTACATAGCCGTTGTTAATAGTATATTATTTTATATAAAACAGCTCACAGCTGCCATATCATTATACCGCGGGTAGTTTCCATATTCCCGTAATACCATTATACGGAGGATGCAATAATTTATAGTATGCATTTTATTACTTTGCTTTTCTATTATTATTAAAAAAAAAAAAAATCGTTTACTCGGTTGCCGCCAAAACGGCAGCGGACTCAGAGTCAACAACCTGCGAGTCGTATGTTTACAACATAAAGTATAAATATAGGTACAATCGACAGGACGTTTAACGGGTTCAATTCTGGTCGTTCCAAATACAATGCAATACATACGTACCTGTAGCATGGTACAGCCTAGGTACATCCCGAAAAGAATAATAATAATATAATCTGGGAAACGTTCTCACATTAACAGCGTTTATGACGTTCAAAGTTACATTTACACAAACGTCTCGAATAAAATGTAAATTAATTACACTAATTTAATCGTTTATTTTGGTTTTGTTTTTCAGACGTTCATTACGAAGAGCATACCAGTCCACTTCTTAAAAGGTTCACTCCTCGGTATAACACATATTATACCAAACATGGCCAACATAAGCAATTATTATCGTCGAGTATTTTTATAATTATAATTTTATTTTTAGAATTATGTAAAGAATATTATATACGGTTAGTTTTTCGAACAAAACCGAAAACAATTGTTTAGTACTTATGCTTATTTTGTTTTATTATTGTTGTTAAAATAATTATTATTATTTTATTATTGTAATAGCCACTTGTGTCTAATAAAATACTTTATTTTGTGTATAGAGATAGCCACGTTTTTTGGTTCCACAGTTAAGCCTTCTACACTCTTGACTAATAACTCAACTTATTTTTTTTCTCTATTTTTTCCCAAGTTACGTATCTATCATTTTTAATTATTATTTATGTCAAATGTACTTAATTCACACATATTTTACACCTTTATTGTTTTTGTAAATATGTATTGGTTAATAACATTAATTTTATTTTAGTATAACTTGCTCAATAATTCTTTTTTTTTATTACTAAATTTACAACTATTATAGTATTTGTCCATGAATTACTGTACAAAAGCGTTGGTCGTACACCGCATACCCAAAACGTACCCTTTAAGAAACTAAAAGAAATTGTAAAACTGTGGACACGTTATTGCTCTGTGGGCCCAATTAAACTGTTTGTAAGATTTAATACACCAAGAGAGTTGTATCGAAAAAATAATATAAGATAACACATAATTATTATTTTTATTATTATCGAATCATTGACTGATGTAATGGATAGGGATTGCGTGCCATTTTAATGCTTACAAAAAAAAAAGAAATGGTAGTAATTTGATTGTATTACTTAATATTGTATTCCATTATTTTATTATGATTTATGACTTAGGATATAAATCTCTGTTATTAAAAAAGATGTTAAATAAAATATATTTTAATTTTGCGAATAGTATATTATCTGTCAATTTAATCACTAGTTTAAACGGCAAATACTTTCCTTCGTGGTTTTTGACCTTCAAGACCATACTATCCAGCATATTTGCCTCCAGTTTTCCCTTTCTAACGGTATTTCCTTCCAATGCTCTCCTGACTTTACTTTTTCCACGTCCTCTTTTACCCCGTCTTCCCATCTTAATTTTGGGCGTCCCAGTGGTCTTTTTCCTTGTGGAGCATTTTCTAGAACTGTTCTCAGCAGCGATCCTTCCTTCCGCCATGTGTGTCCTGTCCAGATGAGTCGTCTCTTGGTAATGTTTTCCACAATACTCGACTCTGATACAATTATTTGAAATCCCTATTTTTCCGGATTCTCTATTCTCCAGTATTTACATCTTTACATATAGACCGTATATTTTTCTGAGTACTTTCCTTTCGAAAATGACTAGTGAACTTTCGTCTGTCCTCCGTAACGTCTATGTTTCCGTATAAGTATTAATATTTGTGTTTTTCGTATTCTGTACTCGTAGGTATACACGTGGAAGTATATTTCCGCTGTTTAGTAGATGCAGTGTGTTTTCGAATCGGCGTGATGCTTTTAGCTATGAGTATACAAAAAAACAGGATGAACTGATATATTGATGCAATCGTCGTGCGTCTGAAATGACAATTAGAAATTATAATATGTCAGTGCTACACGATCAACGTTTGTGGATTTCAAATAAAGGCATCGTTCAAATTTGCATACAATTAGATGAACGATTAATAAAATAAACACAACTTCGAACTAAGGTACTTTCAGTATGGAGAACGGTCGAGTAAAATATATTTGCTAAACAACTTTTTGATATACTTTTTACGAGAACAGTAAGTTTTCAAATTCATAACCATCGCTATGTATACCCATTACGTACATGTGTTTAGACACACTCATTGAGTTATACTACAATATATACTCACCGGTACAAGTAACAACGACGGCGAGAAGTCATATTGGAATTAGTACAGGAATGCTAACAATCATTTAAAGTGAAAGTACGGCCTAATAATGTTGCGGGTATTCTTTTAATTAAAAAATAATGGGACTATGAATCCTGTAGATGAGATTTGTGAACATACACAAATTCTTAAGCTCGTAAATATAGTAATTTATCCAGTACCTGATATCTTAGATTGTCCTAATAAAACTTTGTTTTCTTAATATTCACTTTAGCTTTTTATGTTTTACATTGAATTATAATTATCAGTTTAAGAAATTTAAATGTAAATAATATTTAATCACAACAAATAAAAGTTGACTTTTAAGTTGCATTCGCTCTAACAAGTCGTCGAATTACTTTGTATTATAAGATTCTACCAAGACTCGCTAAAAATAACTGATATAATTAATGGCTGATCAATAAAATGCAACTTATAGCTATAGATCTATCCATTGTAAATGATCCAATAATACAGTACTCGGCATAATGTTTAAACAATAATTATGCGTAGACAATCAAAGTCAGTAAAAAAAAAAAACCTTAACATTAGGTAAATTTGAATTGTATTACAAGTATTTTTTTTTTCTTTGGTACCAACATATTATATTATGTACTTAAACTCGTTTTAAATAATCTCGCTTCTATATGGTAGCAATTTGGCTCATTAGTAGCCATTCAAACCATATAATAAAAAACATTATACGTTTGGACGGATCTGCTTCCTGTAATAAAAGGTGGTGAATAATCATCATTACTGTATGCGTGGAAGTTCGTGTGAATATCTATAAATTGACCTTAAATGTACTTTAATTGCGTTACCTGAATGTATGACACACGTGTACTCGCACAAAAGGCGAACAACACGTGTTCGCTATAAATATAATAATAATAATAATCATAATGTTTTGTCTGCCTTTCTCTATCTATACTCGAATTTGTTTAGTATTTTAATTTGTAGACAGTACAAGTATGATACAGCAAGTATCTTTAGAAACCAAGATTTTTGTTTTTAGAATTCAGATCACTGTATGTTTACCATGACTACCGTATATACAACATACCTACAGGAAGTGTATCTGATGACCAAATTAATGGACTTGGCAAAATTAGTCTAGGTAATTCAGTAAAAGCATCAATAAATACATTAATAATAGTATAGTGTTGAAGATATTTTATTGTCACGGTGGTAACAGTATTGTAGCACAGTTTTGAATAATTACTGGAGTTGTTCGTTTTTAGAATTCTAGAAAATACCATCAGAGGTATAAGTATAAGAAAACTTTTGCGTAACATTGTAAATTAACACAACCAATATGTTTCCAAAATTAGAGATTGCAAGTATGTTACATTGGATCACTCCGTACACACACACACAGTACACTTGTATATTGTCATACCATAAGTCGTGTATGATGGAAACCGATTTTTTCACGCTTTTCGTCTATTGGTGTTGATTTAATAACGCGTTAGCCGACGAGGCAACGAGGTAACCGCACGGTTAGTGCATACAGTGTGTGTGTATAGTTTGTGTCCGTAAGTAATAAATATACATATAGCTTCTGTACGTGCTTTACGTTGCCGGAAACGTTTTCCAAGGGTGATGAACCGTAACCGACTAAGTCAACCCGTTATTACAGTCGTCGGAATGAATACAAATACAATTAATTGCTCCTCGTGAGTAATGACCAACGTTGATTACAATCATTTTTTTTTTTACAAATCATAGGTAAACATGTTTATTGTTTACTAACATTATTTAGAATCCAAGGAAATAAATTTAAAGTTCGTGCGTCTGTCACTCTCTTATGTAATAATTAATAAGTATATATATATATTTTTTTTTTTCATATCAAACTAATTGTCAAGATACATATTTTTACATCGGGCGTCCTTGCCAACCGTTTAATTTACAATGCGTGTGTTGTTTTTCATTGGACGAAGGGAAGTACAAGAAGTAAATAATACTTAAATATTCATTCCCAAATCTCTTTCTCCACAATAATTCGCTAGTCGGTCAAAACAAAATCAAAATGCTAGTTTTATTGTTACTTGGTAAACTAATACTCTAAAGGTATTTCTTTTTTTAATTTTTATGAGGACTTCTTATTTACATCAGTCACCGGCCACGTCTTCTTGACCGGCGGTCATAACGCATACTATACCGTCGTTCAGGACACCAGTGCAACGTGGCCCGTGATAACATATTTATATTTTATAAATGTGTACAATATAATATGTTTAGACTCAGCACAACAACCGGTTCACCTTCATCGTCGTCTCAATGTATATTAGTGTGTGCGACACGAACGCCAGTGGTAAAATGCGATGCGCTCAAGAATATGATTGCTAAACCTTCCTACGTCGTAGCCTGCAAAAATACACATTTTTGTTACAATACGTATTTACTCGAATATTATACTACTGTAATATCGTTAGATGAATATTTCAACGTTATGTACCTACTTCATATAAGGAAACGTGCCTGTTACATCAGTGTACATTCAATGAAATACTCGTGAATAGTTTTAGGTTTCCTAGCCTATATAGACACATTATACCTATCCCCGTTATGTTTGTCTGTCCGTCCTATCGATACGTTACCGTGGTTACCAACATGAATATTTACAATTTGTTTTGTTTTATTTATTCTCTACTAGAGTTGTTGAATTTTAACTATAGTTTAGTACCTAATTAAATTACACCTAGAAACTGGTAGTTTAGCGCGCCTGCAAAGTAGGCTTTATTAAATTGTTTAATTTTACAACAACCATTTACTATTGAGATATTTAATAATTCACCGCAGCGAAGCTGGTTTCAAAAACCAACATTTAAAAACTACAGTTTCTAATCCCTAAAGTTAAAGCTATAAAGTTCTAAAGCACTTGTTTTTTTCTAGGAAATTTATAAAAAGAGAGCCACACTTATGTGTCATCACAGCTGCGCAACTTAGCAACTTTACATATTAATTCACATTTGTATCGTCTTACATACAATTTCTTACACTTTATAATGGGCTATAGTTCATAGGTAAAAATATGTTTTTTGTTTTTACATTTTGTTTCGGTTATAAATTATATAATATATTTTATAACCGCACAAACAAACAAATTAAAAACACAAACGTTAAATTGCAATACTTTATAAATTATAATTACTATACTATTATGGTTTTAAGTTTTCAGGTTACAAGAACTAGAAGATTACTCCAATACTTAAACTATGTATACGCTGGGCTTCAATATAAATATATATATATATATATAATAATATACCTAGTGGTGTATTCAAATATATTTTAGTAACTACAATAATCAGACCTACAGTTAACAACTAGAAAAACTATATCCTACGAGAAAAAACAGTCAGTTCAATTCGACTCACTGTAAAATAAAAATAAATAAAGGTTAAAAGTAGCAATATTATTATTATTTTGTTTAGCGTACAAACGTACCTACACGAAATAACAATGTATAATGTATAATAAAAAAACAAAATTGTAGGACCAACATTTTGGGGGAGAAAATGAAATTACACGAAAACCAGTTTTTGTATGCTCACTACACACACATAATACTCATCGTCCACCGTCGAGATTGCGGGACGAACGAAAAAAAGGACCCACACGGCATTATTGTTAACAGGTGGAACCAGCTAGGTATTCGGTATTTGACCTTCTCTCCGACATAAGCACCCGATTCTAGTAAAAGAAAAAAAAGAACCGCGTTCGTCATCCGGTCGGCGTTTTCTCCCCTTCGGGAGTATTTTTCTGACCAAGGTATAACATAATAATAAAATATGATGACGAAGACATCTCCTCGACAAAACAAAAAAAAAATAATAATAATCTGGTGTGGGGTACCTTGTCGGCATCGTCATAATATTATGATTATCAAAAGATAGTATAAATAATTTGAAATAATCAATATTATATTATATACAAAATAAAACGAACATAAAAGACTGATATAAAGGTATAATCAATAGTTTCACTAACAGCATTAAAATTCCACCGGAGCTCTAAAAAAAATAACCTGTTAAA